AAGCATAAGTATTCACGACATTATTATCCCAGCTTGTTGTCATCCCAACGATGCCCCATTTCTACTGATACTACATCAAAGGAATTCCAGAAAAAAAAAACAACTCTTATTTCCTCAAGTGCTTGAACGGTTTCATTTATCTCATCGGAACAAAATTTGCCACATCAGTTTGCGAATTAATGATCGAAAAGCTGAAGTCAGTCGAAGAAATCAGGAAAGCAATGCGACAAAGTCAAACTCTACAGGATAAAATGTGATATAGTTGCACTAAAATCGAACAAATTTCAACGAACATGTTCGAAATTAGAGCAAAAATAATAGTCGGATAAAGTTGCAGTCGTGCCATTAAACGAACGCTGTTGGGTTATGACCAGCAGATTGTCGACTATCTGAATTGACGAATAAGTAAATTAAATGCTCTTACAAAACAGACTTATACGACACAAATAGGACATATTACACGAAAGGTTCACTCATTATGCATTATGAAAGCGAGTTTATCGTTTTTCAACATTTTAAAGGTGAAAAAAATGATTGCGTTCGACATTACATTTGCAAACAAACATAACGAGAAGTCTTTGAATTCTACGCGCAAATAATCGAGACTTTGTTTTTTGCTAAATATAAGAAGAAAATGATCAGTCGACTAACATGAACTATGACTGGAATATCGACTGAAGCAACCAATGTAGCCGGTATCGAGAAGGAAGATTCCACTCGAAGCAATGATGCGCTTAATGGCGGTATTGATTCAGCAGCTATTGAAGCGGGCAGTTCGGAGGCGATCTCGATTTGAACCTGCATTATCATTCAGTAGTGTAGTCGGAACTGATTGCTTCTCGATACTGACTGGCTTCAGCAAGGCAAGTGAACGATAGAAGCGTCAGCGCATCACAGTTAGGACACGAATTTAGAAATGAATAGTGAGTTCGAAAACTTTTGCTTTCTGGATGAAACTTTTAAGGTGTCACGAGAACGGCTTCCTTGTATCAGGAAGGTTTTGATGTCAAATGCTCCTAGAAAATGAATTTCGCGGAATTGTTCGAGTATGTTCGGAGTCATTCGCAGATTTGTAGCGTTATGAG